TTTTTTTTTTTTTTTGTCTTTTCTTCTTCATAAGGTCATAGAAAAAGGATTTTCTCTTCCTGCAGATTTTAACAATCTTAGCACATGATTGTCTGGTCTTGTTGAGAATTTTCACCTTTTCAATTAAAAGTAGCATTTATCACTTCTTGTCAGCATGTCTGAATTGCCACCATTACCACTTTTGAGCCTGGTGGACATTACTAAGTAAAACAAAGTTTGTTTGGGTGAGTACAGTGGTATGTACCTGTAATTTAAGGCTCTTGGGAGGCTAAGGTAGGAATAGCCTGCAAGTTTGAGGCCAGCCTGGGCAATATAGTGAGACTCTGTCTCAAAATAAAAAGGGCTAACTATGTAGCTCAGTGCTAGATGGGATCAATCTCCAGTACTGCATTCATTACTTGAATACAGCACTATGATTGCCAAATAGTGGATCTGATACCTGTATCTGAGTGATTACCAGGTGGGTAGCATATACAGTGTGGATACAGAGAGCAAAAGGATGGTTCTCATCTCAGGCAGGCAGAGTAGGATGGCAGATTTCCTCATACTACTCAGAACAGTGCACAATTTAAAACTTGTGATCTGTCTATTTTTGGAATTTTCCACTTAAGATTTTCAAACTGAAGTTGCATGTGAGTAACCAAAACCATGAAAGCGAAAGTTAATAAGAGGGAAATGACACTGTGAATAAAGGAGAAACTTCTGCAATATAGAAATGAACAAAGCTCTTTTCTATCTCACCTGCCATTTGTTCTCTATTTCCAGTGCAAAGCTCCTGATGATTGAGCGGGGAGCTCTTCCGTTTTCAAGGCTTCCACAATCCCCCAATGCTTTTCTTGCTTCTTTCTGCAGAAACTCTGGTCTTGCACACCTTGTAGTTTGGGGTACATGCATATACTGTGTCACCTGATTTTGCTGGGAATAGGCTGTTCCTACTACTGGCTGTTCTGTCTGCTTTTATGTGAAGATGTGGGACCTTTGTTAACTACAGCACTAGTGTGGCTGCTGCCTCCCTATATCTCACTAGGACACCAATGAACAGTGACCATCTTAAATTTAATGAATGTGGTCACAGAGACATGACAGAAAGAGTTCAGCCTGCATTTTTATAGACTTTACATCTGTTTTTACCTCCTAGTGCAACTGCACCCCAAACATGGACAACTGTATGGGCCAGGTGATAGCAAAGGGAGAGGGACATGGAGCTCTGGGTTTGTGTGAAGAGGTGTAGATAAGGTTGTACAGATATAGTAGGCAGAGGTCCTGAAGGCTTCTATCAACACTGCGTGCAAGGACAGCCACCCTTGGAGAGCACCAGTTTTACACTGCAGTGTCTTAGGACCCAGCGAGAAGAAGATGGAGCCCTTGAGATGTGGCCCTCCTATGAACTTACTGTCTAAACAGAAGGCGGAACTTGGAACTAGGACTCCTAAGTCATAAACAGTGAAGGAAACAAATTATTGATACTGGGGAAGGAAGTCTTTGGTAAGAATTTGATGAAATCCTTCCTGGAACTAGCGGTACTTTCAACATTTCTCTTTGTGTCCTGGAAGACTAGGGATTGAAAGGGTTTCTAGCCCAGAAATAGGTCCCCTCTTATTTCTAGCAAGTGACAAGTGACATGAGAGAAATGAACCAAGCACTCTACACTATAAGATTGCCCTGACAAATAGTTTATTGTTTCACTATTGGTGGAGACCTTACTATTACAGAAAATTAAGTGTGTGTGTGCATGTGTGTGTGAGCTTGTGTATGTCTGTGTTTTGGGGAGGGAGATTGATGCCACATCCAATATTATTCATAGGACAATTTGAGAGAGTAAGTACTCATGGACTGTCCCCCACATTGATGATGATGACAGTGATCTAAACAACCTTTTGGGGCATTTTTTTGCAAAGATTGAATGAAGTAAGGAGCTGGCTTGATACCTTGATGTGACCGTTCATTTTAGCCTTCTGTGAGCTATGAAAGATGACAATATGGAGAATAAATATACTCCTGTGCATTTTCTTGGCGGTGAACACAGTGTTCATTTGGGAAAGTTTTCAAAATTTCAGGTCTTCTTTATGTTAAAAATTAGACAGTACTTTCTGGTCTTTCCCCACCATGGATCAGATTTCTCATTGTAGACGAAAGGAGGGATACACCCTAGGGCCGCGAGAGGCACAAGGGAAAAAAAGGGAACTAACTTGCTTAATGGTGTCAGGTATAAAACTCCCCTTGGCCAACTTATTTTTATGGCTGGTGTACATGATACGGAGCAGGCTTAATCAAAAGACAGCTTTGTTTGGGGAATGAGATTGTCTCTGAGTTATCTAATTAGGCAGGTCATACACCATCTGTTTTTGTGGAACTAGTTGCATTAAAAAACTCTTTCACCTATTTCAGGGACTTAAATATCAGGACCAAGGTCAATATAGTTTTTCTGAAAAAGTTAATGCTTCATGTCTGGTAAACCTGGGTGTGCTTCACAGAGGTAGCCCGAGTATAACATTAAAAAATATATAAATAAAATAAGAAACGCCTGATCACATGTATATAGCTTCATGTACGTATTTACAGATTTCCCCACCATCTTTTCAAATCAGACAAAAGACACACATCAGTGGCAGTCAGGTATGGACCAAGTGTCAGTCTTGTTGTGACTTAACAAGATTTAACACACGAACAACAGGTACAAACTCTTTTTGATTGCTTTGGATATTTTTGAGGTACTGAGGGTTGAACCCAGGGTCTTCACACTGAGCTACACTCCTTGGACTGTTTTATTTTTATTTTTGAGACAGGGTCTCGCTACATCACTAAGTTGCCCAGCCTAGATGCAAACTTGTGATCCTTCTCCTTCAGCCTCCTTAAATACTGGGTGCTAGGATGACAGGTGTGTGCCACAATGTCTAGTTGCTTTGCATTTTTGTGTGCACTGCATTGTGTATGTCTGTGTGTGTTGATTTCCTAGGCTTGTGAATTCTGCAGGAATCAAAGCATAATAAATGGCTTGAGAAAACTACTGTAAGCATCATATAAGCACCTGGGTTTTTTGTTGTTGTTGTTGTTGTTGTTGTTGTTGTTTTTCTTTTTTTTTTTGCGGTACCGGGAATTGAACTCACGACCTTGCGCTTGCCAGGCAGGCGCTGTGCAGCTGAGCTAAATCCCCAGCCCCACACCTGGGTTTTTAACAGTGCTATTTTTACTTAAGGCAAAACTGCAGCTCCCGGAACTGGAACTTAACAGGCTAATGTTTACAGTTCCCCAAGGCAGTGGGAAAACTCCACTTGACATACAGGGAAAAACAAGGACATAAGGAAATTGGAAGTCCGCACGTCTGGGCATCCTCTTGCTGAAACACCATCAGCAAGTTTTTAAAATAAATCATCTTAAACAACTTTTTACTGGGCACCTCTTAGATGCAGGGGTCTGCACTGTTCTTAGCCCCTATTGATTTGCACCCTCTTGCCTCCCAGTGAAATGGGCCCTTCAGGAGTGAGTATTCTGGGACGGAAAAGGTCGAAGATGTTGCCTTGGAGCGTAGGGCATTCGTGGGCTTCCCAAAGCCAAAGAGACGAAGCCAGTACTAGAGAGGACACTTTGTGCCATTATGGGCAACGCTACATCTCTGCTCTTGTGAGTTCCCTTTTGCGTGAAGCCCAGGAACTTTTATCCATAGCTGAGCATGATTGCTCAATCATCTCTGTCTGATTACATGGAATTCATTCCACCTCTGCACAGCCACAGAGCACTTGTGTCCCGAAAAGCACGAGTTAAAAGAACTATTTCATAACCTCAGGACAGCCAGAGAGATGCAATTGCTGACCAATTCTATCGAAATCCATGGCCCAATTCTAAGCATTTAAACATAGCATCGGGCTAATATTTGTCCTTTTTTCCCCTGCACTTGGGAAAGTCATCTTGCGAAAGGCCAGCAGGGTAAGTAAATTGAGTTTAGAGCAATGTCTCTGTGATCTACTGTAAGTGGAATATACTGAGGCATAGAAAGATGGTTCTTTGTTGGGGTTTAGGTCTCGACCGACCTCAGTGTGGAAAGCTTTCTGCCAATAAGCAGCATTTGATCTTTAATATTTTTGCTGAAATTCCTTTTTGCGTCTGCTAAAGAACTTTGCATAAAGTTCCCTGAGAGAGGCCGAGAGCTGATTTTCAAAGTTGCAGTTGACTCATTGGAGATAAGGCTGATGGAGACGTCCCTCCTCCCGGCTGCCCGATGCTCGTCCCCGCCCCTGCAGCCTGCTCTCCCGAGCTGCTCTTTTGATCTTCTCCATGAGCTTTGAAGCTGCCGTCATCTTTGATTTCAACGCGCTGTTCTGAGTCATTGTTTGATTTCTTGGAAAAGGCAGAAAGGCTTATGTTCCCCTGTGCTTGTTTTTCTTCTCCTTTGGAAAGTTTACGCGCAGCTGTCTTAATGCAGGTTGGTCCCACGCAGCAGCCTGGACAAAGCTCGCTTTGAAGGTAGCAGGAGCCGCAGGTGGGAAGCCGATTAACGGATGGATGTGTCAGAGAAACTGGGTCCCTGTGAGCTCTTCCTTCGTGGGGTTTGATCTCTCCCTCTTTCTCTGGATCTCCTTGTTTCCCCCTCTTCTTCTCTGCCTCTCTCTCTCTCGCTTTCTCTCTCTACCCCTTTTTGCTTTTTTCTTTCCTTTCCTCCCTCTCCTCATTTTTCCCTTCCCTTTTTTGCTAAAAATCCCAACAGACCTTAAACAATGTGGGCACCAATGGTCTTATTAACCCAGTGGATGGCAGGCAGCTCTGCAGTGGTAGGGGCAGCCTGGACCCGTGACAGATTAAAATTATTTGTGGGAAGCGCTATTGCCATTGGGCTGTGGGATAGATCACCAGCTGTATCTTAGGGCACCCTGACTTTGTTTTGGTGGAGGGAAGGTTATAATGAGTGTTGTTACCCAATACTAGGAAACATCGTGTCCTGGGGGCAAACCACATTCCCAAATAACATAGTTTGTGTGTATTTCTAATAATCCAACCATTCATCTGAAGGCAAAGAACACAGCTTGATAATGCTGTCACCTACAAGAAGCCTCTCTGGTTGTCCCACATGCCCAGTGCTTCCTTGTTAATTCACTGATGCTCCTTGGGGGTGTCACAGGGGGTGGCCACGCCTGCATAAACTGGAGCCTGGCCTCGTGGGCATGGGCTCTTGGTGGGGACAGTGAGGGAAGAGCAAGCTCTGGCTCAAGCGCAGGGACTCATACATGAAGGCATGGCTGGCCGCTTCCTGCTCTAAGCCATTGCTTTTCTGTTTTCCTGAAGTGAGGTTTTCCAGTGAGAAGCTGTTCTCAGGGACAGACTGTAGTGAAAAGGTGCGGCTCCTGCAAGCGAGAAGGGCTGAGTCAACTCTAGGTGGAGCAGTACCTCTTCTCTCGTCCTGTGTGAGCCTGAACAGGTGGGGAAGATGTCCGAGAGCAGGTATAGAGCTGGGAGGTGCTCTTCCTATGCTTGGAGACAAGCCAGAAAGGAGGCAGTTTTGGGAAAACAGGCCCACGGGTGAGATACCTTCCAGTGTCAGAGGACATAGGTCTGGAGATGGGCAGGCATACGGATGGTGCCAGATCTGAGAGCTCCAGGAAGTAGCTAATCATTTCTGTTTCAGCTACTTTCTGCTTACTGGCTTCTCTGAAGGGATTGTAATTTCTTTTTTTGTTTGTTCGTTTGTTTTTGTTTTTGTTTTTGTTTTTCTTCTGGTACCAGGAATCGAACTCACGACCTTGCGCTTGCCAGGCAGGCGCTGTGCCACTGAGCTAAATCCCCAGCTCCTGTAATTTCTTCTCTTTCAGGGTAAAAATAACAACAGAATGTTGTAGACCATAGTAGTCAGCAAACTGGCCCTGTAAAGGTCCAGAGGGTGAGTATTTTAGGCTTGGAGTTCACTGTGGCAACTACTCAATGCTGCTGTTATAGTGCTCGAGTAGCCGTAGGTGGTGTGTGGCCAACAGGGATGACTGACCCAATCACACTCCATTTATGGAACCAGGCATCGGGTCACATTTGGTCTATGGGCCTGAGTTTGTTGATCCACATTAAAGGAAACCAGGGAAAAGGGTTTTGTTCATGCTTGGACATTATGGGAGCATTAGTCACAGTTGTAACTGAAATAATAATCATGACTGAAATAATATTATTATTGCAGTAAAGTTATTATTATAATAACTCATGTAATGCTAATCAGGTGCCAGATACTATGTTAAGCATTTGACATTCATTATTTACAGAGACACACAATCATTATGTAATCTAACCCTAGAATGTGCACCTTACCTCCAAGAGAAAGCTCGTATCATTGGCCATCAGCCCCCAAATCTCTCTACCTTGGGGCCCTGGCACTTGATTCTCTATTTTCTGTCTGTGGCTTTGGTTATTCTGGACCTTTCACAGAAATGGAATCATAGAATCTGTGGCCTTGTGTGTCTGGTTTCTTTCAGCTTTCATAATATTTTCAAAGCCCATCCAGTTTTGTAGCATGTATCAGTATTTCATACATTTTTATTACCAAACAGTATTCCACTGTATGTCTACACCATGTTTTGTTGATGTATTTTCCAGCTGATGGACACTCAGGTTGTATCTCTTCTCAGCTGTTAAGAATAAGGCGGCTAGGCCTGGGGATATAGCTCAGCGGCACAAGTGCCTGCCTGGCAAGTGCAAGGTCCTGAGTTTGATTCCCAGTAGCAAAAAAAAAAAAAAAAAAAAAAAAAAGAATAAGGCAGGTATTAATATTTGTATACCACAAAAGTGGGGACCTACATTTTCATTTCCCTTAGATATCTACCAAGGAGTAGAATGGTTAGGTCAGATCATAATTGTATGTTTTTTTGAGGAGCTTCCAGACTGTTCCTGAAACAGCTGTGCCATTTTACCCTCCCACCAGTAGCAATATGTGGAGGTTTTGATTTCTCAACATCCTCTCCAACATTTCTAACTCTCTTACTTTTTTATTATAGCCATTCTAGTGGGTGTGGAGAGAAGTATTCTTAATAACTACTTTCAAAGTTGACACCCTTTACAGCCTTTAGTCTGAAACTCACTAAAGAAAACCCCTAGGTGCCTATTCATTTGGAAATACACAGATGACTGAAGTGAGGAAGAAATTCAATCAAATGTCTCTTGATGTTCTTTAAGGAAGAAATGAGTCAGAGAAAATGACACTTTTAATTGGGACCTGATAATCACATTTGTTTAATGTGACTCTTAAACTTATGTCTTTGCTGGTTAGTTTATAAAGTATTATGTGCAAAGGCAAATGCTGGCTAACATGATTAAGCTTCTGCCACCCCCAAAACTTTTAAAAGCATAATTTTGGGAGTTTAGGGTTCTTTCTTTCATTTGTGTTATTTTTACAAAACCACAGTGAGGGCAAATCAGTTGTGATGTTTCAGATCATTAATGCTTAACAACTAATTTAATGAGATAACAGTAGTGGCTGATTTTTCATGGGAACCCATATGATATAATAAGCAAGAATGAGACAAAAAACAGTAGCCAGGAAACTGGAGTTTTGATGCTGGGTTTTACAACTTTGCATAGGTTAGTGATATCACTGCCTCAGCTTCCTATCTCTAGCTGGGGCAACACCTCTGTTTGTTCTCTATGAAACTGAATTCTGGGACACAAACAGTGTATATGTGTCCCTTACTATTCACAGAAGGTCGGGTCTTGAGCCCCTTCTGAAGGCTCAAGCTGCTTATATAAAGAGGCATAGTACTTGCTAAAATACTATGCACATGGTCTTGAGTACTTTAGTTCCTATGCACATGGTCTTGAGTACTTTACATAATCTTCAGATGACTCACAATACCTAATACAATACAAACTGTATGTAAATGTTTGTCACACTTAAGGGAATGAAGATAAAAAATCTGAACATGTTCAATACAGACACACTCATTTTCCAAATATTTTCAATCTGCAGTTGGTTGAATCCATGGCTGCAGAACCTGAAGACATGGATGGCTGGTTGAGGGGATAAGCAACCTGGAAAAGATGTGGCCATATGCAAGGTGCTATGAACAGGAGTTGATTTACAAAGAGAGTAAATAGCAACCACATGCTAGTTGCTTGAGGAGTAGCCAGCTCACAGAGGCACTACAGAATTTCAAAGTTGGAACAAAGCTTGAAGCTCATCCAATCCAATTCCCTCATTTTTTTCTGATGAGGAAGCATGTTAGTCAGTTTTCTATCACTATAATAAAACACCTCATACAATTTAACTTATAAAGAGAAAAGGTTTATTTTTGTTCAAAGTTTCGGTGGTTTCAACTGGCCCCATTGATTGGAGTCTGTGTGAGGCAGTACATCACACTCGGTGACAAAGTGGAGTTAACTGCTCACTTCTTGTGCTAGAGAGAAAGAGGAAGGAGCCAGGATCCAAAGGATTCCTATGAGGGGACACCTCCAATGATCAAAGAACCTTTCATGAGATCACACTAGTCAAAGATTCTTCCCTGCCTGGTAGCATCAACCTTGGCCATGGCCCTTCAGGGGAAATTCAATATCCGAACAACAGCAGGAAGTATGACTTGCCCAGCATCCTTCAAGTGGTCCAAGGTAGGATGAACTGGGTGTGAGCTCAGAGAAGCTCAGTGCTCTTCTACAAGTTCACATCTCTGGGAATTTTTATCCCAAACCACTGTGTTTTTCCTTGTGGTGCCAGTGAGGGTCAGAATATCAAACATCAAGACGTCTACCATTTTTTTCTCTTCCACACTGAACTTTCTCTTGAGTTCTCCTTTTTCTTTTCACTTAGCCACTTTGTGACTGCAAGAGAAGCTGAGGATTGGAGCCTCTCTGTGTTGTAAGACAGAGGAAGAAAAATCGTGGAGAACAGCCAGCCAGTGGCAACACTAGAGACTCAACGGTATGGGATGATCCTAGCAATTGCGGGTGTGATAGTTAATCCTGACTGCTAACTTGATCCGTGGGAGAGATGCCTAGAAGATCAGCGACTTCTGAGTATGTCTGGGTGGGTCATGGAAACATGAGCACGGGGAAGTATTTCTGGTCCCCAGCCCTTCCTCTCGGGTTCTGCCTCGCTCCCCCCACTTCCTGGCTGCCATGAGGTGAACAGTTTTCCTCCACGACTCCTTCCTGCTGTGATGGTTCTGCCTCACCCCAGATCCAAAATAATGGAGACGTCTGATGATGGACTTAAACCTCTGAAACTCTGGGCCCAATCAGCCTTTCTTCCTTTCAGTTGCTTCTGTCAGGTATTTGGTCACAGCAACAAAAAGCTGATACAACACTAACTGATACAGCCAGGAGTGTGCTATGGTTTGGATATGGTTTAAGTGGGTTCTCCAAAGTTTCATGTGTTTCACGAAGCAGGGCAAGCAAGGTAGATCCCAAGAGGAAGGGCTGGGGACTGGAAATAGTTCCCCATGCTTATGTCTCCGTGACCCACACAGACATACCCAGAAGTTGTTAATCTTCTAGGCATCTCTCCCATTGATCAAGTTGACAGTTTTCAGTGTGGTGCTGTTTGGAAGAGAAGCCTAGCAAGAGGTCCTTAGCTCAGTTGAGGACCTACCTTTGGAATGGGTTGTAGGACCCCAGCTTCCCTAGCTTCCTGTTTGGTGATATAATCTCTTCTGCCAGCACACAACCCCCCAGCCCTTTGCCCTGCAAACCTAGCCACAGCCAGCACTATGACATTTGCACTACTGACCCTGAAACTATGAGCTCTGAACCTCTTTTCTTTATCAGACTAGCCTGCCCCAGGTATTCCATCATTGCAACACAAAGGAGACCAATGCAGAACTCTCCTACAACACCAGGTCAAACGAAGCTCCTCAGTATCAGTTTTAGGATGATGGATTGGCCACAGGCATGTTTTGGACTGTGCTGGATCTACCATGGAGGCTGGTATTGTCACAGTAGAAACTGAGTGAAAGCCTTCTTCCTTGTACCTCAGAAGCTTTGGATGGCTTTGCAACCTCTCTCCAGCCATTCTTCCCTCTGAACAAACACTCCCTTGTACCTGAAATGTCCCTGGCCAGGGCCACCACAGAGGCTTAAGTTTGGAGAGTGGGATTTACAACCCTCAGAAACAGACAGTTCTGGCCCTGGGAAAGGGTTGGTGCTGGGAACATTTTTTCCTTTAGATGGGGGCGTGTTTCCCACTGAGAGAGAATCCAGCTCTGAGATTGTAGGGGATTTGTTCCCTTTAATTGAGTTCTGATATGAGACTCAAGCTGTGAATTAATTACCCTTTACCTTTCAAATTCCTTAAAATAGTTACTACTTGCAGAGCACACCCACGTTCTGTTCAATGCACTAATAATTTTCTCCAACAGGCTCCATGCCCAGCACGGTCTCTTTGTGGCTTTCACATGTCCAAGGCATTTCCATTTCCACTGTTCCCATATCCTTGCTCCCTTTGTGATACTCCCAGGTAGACCCATTTGTACCCTGGCTCAGTATCAACACTGTGAAGGACTTAGGTTTCCTGCACTGTCGACCCTACAATTTATCTATTTTTATATTTCAACTGCCTTATATCACAAGTAATCATATCTTAGGTGCATTGATTTATTTCCCCTCTGTTTCTGTCTTTCTCAATGTCTAATAACACCAGGTTACTTGATTTCTATAAGTAAATTTGAAAAAAAAAAGTCAATACCTTGAGAGAGCAAGGAGACATTTAGAATGATCTTTTCTTGCATAAAGTGTGTGTGCATGTGTGTGTGTGTTGTACTTTTGCATGTATTCTATAGATTCCACAGAGCTGTTAGGATTTATATCTAGATTTTCGCTAAGGGCCTCATGAGCCTGTAGGTGGGGCTTTTGGAAGGTGGGGGCTGATAGCTCACTTGCTGTTAGGAGGCAGGGTCTGGATGGAAGATGTATATCAATGGGGGTGTGGCCTGGAAGGGTTTCTCTCCCTCCCTAGCTCCTCCTTTCTGTCTCCATTTCCTGGATACCATGAGGTAAGCAGCTTTCCTTTACCCAGGCCCTTCTGCCATGCTGTCCTGCCTTGGAGCTGGCCAACTAAGGACTGAAACATGAGCTAAAATAAATTCCTTTAAGTTGTAAGTTCAGTATTGTGTTTCAGTGATACAGAAAGTGGCTTCTAAGACAAGAGCAAAGGACATGAGCGATAGCAACAGATCAAAGCCTGGACGTAACATCTGATACTACTTGTACTTGGAGGAGCAGATTTGGATTGCATCCTTCCTGGAATTCAGTAACACTGGACGTCAATGGAAATTACTAGTGTCTTCCATAGAAGTTGTTTTGGTTTCCTACTACTTCAGCTTGTCCCTTGGAGTTAACAATAACAAGAGTGTCTTTAGTGTGTTTCATAAGACAACAGGGCAAAACAGTTGGCGTCACTTTCAAGGTTCCTTACTGAACCTGTTCTCGGCAAGTTATGGTGGCCAATGCCACAGATGCCTGCCAATTACTGGGACAGTGGTGAGGTAAAGATCCAGGGGTGTGCTGTATGCTCTGTTCTATGAATGGATTCCATGGCATATACCTCAACAAAACAGCCTTGCAACCCAGCTGGGTGAGACAGAGATACAGAGACATCACTGTGTCCAAAATAATGGCAGTACTGTATGGCTTCCCCATTGCACCGTGACTGTGTTTAATGCCATGTGTCTATCATTGCTGGGTGCTATGATCTCAGTAAATGTGTTCCAAGCTAAGCATTTCCCTGTCCCAGGACTGTGGCAACTCTTGTAACATCCCCTTTGCAGTCCTGCCACATGGATGAGTTACAGCACAATTCATGACAAGAGAAGCCATCCTTCCACTTGTTTTGAACACCGGAGAGAGAAAAGGTCAACAAATCTTATTGTCAGGACATTTTCCCCAGGCTGAATTTCATGTCATCAAAAGCTGCGGATATAGAAGGAACAAGAGAAATCCCCAGCAAAAAGCAGTCTAAGTTTTCCAGCTTCCCTGTATTAGATGAGCACCTAACAGTATTCCCAAAGTCTCTCTAGTCACATCTCATCCCTTGCAAGGCTGCGGGAAGGGGACATCCAAGTCATCCCAAGGCACTTAGCAGCCTTTCAGACACATCCTTCTCAGACAAATGCATTTCCTCAGCTGCTGCTATTTTTTGGTGCTTTCACATTTTGGTGCGTTTGGTTCTAAACATCATTTTAGTGATGTTATAATTGTGATGTTATGAATATTTTGTTCCTGAGAAACATGGGGATGATTAGGATCTGTGTGGGATAATTTTCAAATCTCCATGATGTGATTGGACTTGATGCTTTAAAATGGATATGGCGATGATTTCTGAGTAAAATGTTCATGTCGAAGGGTACTTAATAGTTGCAGGATGTAAGGCACATGTAATCATTTTGTCAACGCCTTTTTTTGGTTTTATTCTCCTAGAAAAATACCTCAGGATGAGGATCTAGTTGAAGTAGATTACTGGGGAGCTGGTTCCCTCAGAAACAACTGTGGAATGTAGGAGTGAGGTAGGGAAGTGTGTGTGTGTCAGGGATTCACCAGAGGTAATGTCATTAAACCAGCTTACACTGAGAGTAAGTGGGTTGTTATACTCCATGGAAAGTCTGGGAGTCACAGTAGAACATGTGTCCACCCAAGGATACACCAGGTTCTATCAGTCATTATTTCAGGGATGCTTGAGCTTAATTCCCTGATCCTTCATGTTTGCAATTGTGCATGCTTGTCATTAGGTAGAGCCTCAGGTAAAGGGAAGTCAGGCTGTTAATTACCTAGGTGTAACACCAAGGGGCATAGGCGGGGTACCAGTAACATCTACCCCCACCCTCCACAGTATATCCTTGAATTCAGTGGGGGAGAAAAGGATGTAGGTTATTGAAATCAGGAGGTAATTATAAAATCAGACAAAGAACACAAATGGAAATGATAATTCTAATAAATCATGACCACTGTGTTTGAAAATGCCCTTCACAGAAGAGATCTTTGAATTGTGCTTTGAATGAAGTGAAGACTTTGAATCTGTGGAAGGAAAGAAGGAGAAAAAATTCAGGCAGGAGAGACAGTAAGAGCAAAGAGAGGGATATGAGTTGAGATTTACTGAATTCTATGTTTGTTTGTTTGTTTGTTTTTGAGACAAGGTTTCGCTATGTAGTTCAGGCTGGCCTTGAGCTCATTTGGTAGCCCAGGCTGGCCTTGAACTTGAAATGATCCTCCTGCCTCAGCCTCCTGAGTGTTGGGATTACAGGTGTGCTCCCCCTACACCCAGCTTTGAGCTATATCTTGTAAATGACTTCAGGGTCGGGGGACTTTTGCCTTTCTGTACATCTTGCCAGTGAGACACACAATGCCCTTTATTCCAAACTATGTTTTCAGTGGTGCTTGTGTAGGCAATGGCTTGGTAGATGGAGATAGTGTCTCTAGAGCGAAAGGTGGATTTCTTTGCTCAGTGTGCAGTATTTTAGTGATAGCGTCTCCTTCCAGCACAAAGATCAGGTAGGCTTGTGGCTCATTATAAAAGATTCAGATCACCTGAGCTCTGGTTTCCTTTCCTGTAATGCAACTCACTGCCTGAGCAGGGAGGGATCACCTGGACTTTGTATCACATGGTAGATCTTGGAACTTGGAATTTGTGCTCTGTTGATGATACTCTGGCTGCTGCTGTAACAGAGTCCTTTGACTCTGATGTCTTCTTCCATTCTCCAAGAACTTGCAGCAAGCTAACTTGTTTGCTCCAGAATCTCAGGTCATTCATGGTTTTCGACTCTTCTAAGCACCATGTTCAAATAAATGATCTCATTCAAGTTTCACACCATCTCCATGAAGCTGGCAATATTCCTGTGTATGTTTTACATCTGAGAACCCTAGGATTCAGAAATTATACAGTGTGCCCACTGTCACTCAACTGGTAAATGAAAATGTTGAAAATCAAAGTAC